ATAGTGAGTTCTTGGTTATTAGCCAAGATTACAAGAGATCACAAACTGTGATCTAGGCTACAGGTGCTTGGTGTTCTAACTGTTCTTAGAGAATATCAAGCTAGTCTCTTACCCATAGTGTGTCTTTGCTATTTTCTTTGTTGAATTCAAAGTGTAGGATGTAGGATGCTCAAAGCGAATCCTACATCCACTGTTTTCTTATATAGTTGTGAGTTCTTGGTTATTAGTGGTAGCATGCCGAATGCACCAAATTAATTAACCTTACTAACCTAACTACTAAATTGTATATAGGGTGAGCAAGGGTCGATCCCACAGGGAATGATTCGATTAAATCCTATATTCTATGCCAATAGCCACAATGAAAACAACACAATAAAACCCTAAACAGTGAACAATAAAATTTGGTAGCGTGCCGAATGCACCAAATTAATTAACCTTACTAACCTAACTACTAAATTGTATATAGGGTGAGCAAGGGTCAATCCCACAGGGAATGATTCGATTAAATCCTATATTCTATGCCAATAGCCACAATGAAAACAACACAATAAAACCCTAAACAGTGAACAATAAAATTTGGTAATGAAAGGGGTTTGATCAATGCAATCTAAACTGAAAACAAATAATGGTAGAAAATATCAGATTAAAACACCAGTTCTCGGTTTAAGATCCACCTAAACATGCATTGGATATACTAACTGTAACATTATTCTGTCTCGTTATTATGGAACTACTGACCCTAGGAAACAACAAGCTCTATTACCCGAATTTTTCCTTAATTGTCACTACTGAAATAAACTCTTCAAGTAGATCCTAACCCTTGAACAACCTAGAATAAACTCTCTAAGTTTAATTCAATGGCAGCCTTAAGAATTAGGAAAATAGATCAATCTAAGCAACAATCACGCAGGCTCAGATTATTTAACTTAGGTTATGTTATTCAAGATGACAGATTGAAAACTTGTCCATAGTCATCTATCACCATGTGTTACTCATTGAATAGCAATAGAACAATTACGTATCAGAATTCCTAATTCTAACAGATAAAATTCCGATTAAACAACTCAGCAGGCCATTACTAAATCACTTAAATAGAAAATTATAAACAATTGAAACAGAATAACATAAACAATTCCAATAAAAACGAGATTAAGAACAATGTTACTGAAGTTAAATTACACCAATGACATGAATTCGGGCTTCAAAATCCTCTTAAACTGAAGAAGAAAGATCAACCTTACATCTTGATGTAGAAAGTAAAAGAAAACCAAAAAAACTAAAAACTACTGCTGTTCTCTTCTCTCCCCTTTTTAACCTAACAAATCCTCAATAAATAACATGTGTTTTCCTTAATTCTAGCCTAGGAATCATGGAAATTACTTTCCTAGATCTTTGCTAAAAGATAGACTTCCAAAATTGTCAAAATCTTATCAGATATGGAAAATAGAATTCGTCTCCAGGTTGCACCAGGATTCTTGCAATGTAAAAGAACTCTTCTGGGCTTGGTCACTTCATAAAAGTTGTAGTCCCGAATGTGTAGATGAATCTGGGCTTTTGAATCACCTGCTTTCGATATCTGAAACTCCAATTAGGCCCATTCATAGACTCAACACTCGGCCAGGAATCCTTCTGCAATTAGGATTCCAGGTCCGGCTTTGCAACAACTAATGAGGACCCAAATGAACTCAGATTCTCGCCGATAATACCTTACTGGAAAGCTTGATTCGTCTACTTTATGTTTTCTGAAGAACACTTTTGCAATCGAGAAATCTGACTCCATGTAAAACCTAAAAAACGCAGCACTGGTCAGAATAACAAAAAATCTGGAATTTCCTAATCTTTTCTCAATTATTTCATAAAGTCTATCTAAATATGCCAAACCTACAAAATAAACTCTAATAAACTCAACTAGGCATAAAACATAACGAAAAACATAATATGGAAGGAATAAAAATATATAAATTACACTCTTATCAATTAACCAAGATTACAAGAGGTCACGAATTGCGATCTGGGTTACAGGTGCTTGGTGTTCTAAGTGTTCTTAAAGAATATCAAGTTAGTCTCTTTCACGTTGTGTCTTTGCTATTTTCTTTGTTGAATTTAGAGTGTCTGATCCCGATTTTGTGAGAGGGAGCTACCTATTTATACCCATTGAGCTGAAGGTAATGATTATATATCTACAAGTGGGTTGGTGCCGTGTAAATCCCTCCTTAAATTAAATAGAGCTTGGACATGTGTGCAAACCAAATTCATTCACAGACAAAACTTGAGTCGGCTCGGTTGTTGACAACTATATTCTCTCAGTCTTGGGTGACGTGACAAACTTTGGATGACATAAAATCTTCCTGAACTCTGATTGGTACTTGCTGACGTCAGCTTATGTCAACCATGATTTTTTTGGCATAACAATTGCCATCTTTTCAACGGAAAATTATGGCTATAAGAGCAGTTTGGTCAATTTATTATGAGGGAGAAAGTCTATATGTTTAGAGTGAGCAAAAATTCAAAGTCTTATTTCCAAACTTTTCCCAGTCCAATATGTGCATCTCCACCAGCTTGTGTTCACATTTTAGGTCCAAAGAACTTTTAATAATTGATATGCCGCCCAATCAGTTCCTTCTTGAGTGTTTATTTCCAAACTTTTCCCAGTCCAATATGTGCATCTCCACCAGTTTGTGTTCACATTTTGGGTCCAAATAACTTTTAATAATTGATATGCCGCCCAATCAGTTTCTTCCTGTGTATTATTTAATACAAATGTGTGTGGAAACCGAGCCCAAAATAATTCATTATATTTTCATCCCTCGAGCGAGAGCTAGCCGTGGCATTTGAAAGCAGGATCAAACTCAGGTCAGAACATGCACTTAATTTGTTTCATTTAACTTATTCACCCATTTTCTTATAGAAGAGCTATATATGATTAATGCATGAATATATTATTGCTAATGTTCTTATAGCAGAGCTATATATAATTAATGCATGAATCAATGTCTATTATCAAGAGCTTTCATGATGTTCTTGTTCAATTCAAATGGATATTGCCAGGGCCGGCTTAAGGGGTAGGCAGGTGAGGCACCTGCCTAGGGCCCCAAACAAATGGGGGCCCAAATTTTTTATAAATTTTTTTTTTTCTTGAATATCTTACATAAATGAAAATGATTTATAATTTCTTATCTAAGCTAAGGGTCCCCAAAAAAAAGCCAAAAAAGCCCAAATTTATTATAAACTTTTTATATATATTCCCACCCAAAGTTTAACAAAATAGCAAGTTTGTACCTCTAGTTTTATATATTCTAGTTTATACCCCTAAATTAACACATTGAATCTCTTTTAACAATGAAAAACTAAAATAGTTATTTACATATCTCAAATTACTCACCCCTAATTCAATCCCAAAATTTGACATTCACATAAATCATCTCCAACCCTCTTCTGCTGCCAATGGTTTGGAGTTGATTTCGGTCAATTTTGGTTCCGGTCGATTTTCTCACCAAAATCATCATTTTATCATTTCCCAACCTTGATAGCCCTCGATTTGACTAATTTTTTATGAATTTCGCAACCCAACTCCACCACACGATAGCCATTTTCAGCCTTTTTGGCATGTACTCGACATTGTTGGCCTTCCTCGACACCACCATCTTCCTCCCCTCAGCCCTCTCACCAAAACCCCTATCATACCTTATCTGTTTACTCTGCCAATCGCTGGCCATCGATACCTTTTGGGCCGTGACTTCTCAAGCATTTTCTTATCAATCTTGACATTGGAAATCACCCATTTCACCACTTATCACTTCTCCAACATCTACTCTCCAAAACCCCCCACCAACCTACCCTTGTTAGCCTGCCGGTTGCTGTCCACCTCTCCTAGTGATTTTTCATCTCAAAAAAAAAAAAAAAAAAAAAAAATAATAATAAATAAATAATTTTTTTTTTTAATATATGCTTATATTATTAGAGGCCCCCAAAATAACTCCTGCCTAGGGTCATACATGTTCTAGAGATGGCCCTGGATATTGCGTTTATAGGTTATGGTGATTGAAGAGACAGAGAGAGGGAGGATTTATCTTTGTTTACCAAAATATCATTCTATTTGTAAGAGTGGTGATATAATTGAGTGTGGGTGATGTATGTATAAACTCTTTTTACTCAAATTTATGTGAACCGCTAGATTATATTTAGATGAAGGGCAGTCAGTTTGTGTTTCAGGTTAAGTCAATAATTTGTGTTACAATAGCACAAGTCTCTCTCTCTCTCTCTACCCTTCTATAGTCATAGTGTTGTGACTAAGCTAATTTTATTATTACGAGGAGATTATAACTTAATAGAGGTATAATTAAAAAAAATATTGTTTTGATTTAGTCATCATTAGTACAAGTGGTATAAAGGTAAAATATATATTATATTAATAATTAATAAATGAAGCATGCCAAATCCAAGGTATAGATATTAATAAAAGAGATATACATAATTTTGTGCCAAGAAGCTCTAAATATGTTTGAGAACCTATAAATAGTTTGACTTTAATAAAAAAAAATATTCATGTTAATGAGTTATTATGTACCCGTAAATTAAAACATATGATAATAACTTTAAAACATAAATCATTGTCACATACAATTTTAGATAAATAGTTTAGAAAAATTGGCTTCCTCTATCACGGCCCACTGTTGGCGTTGTGTTGTTAACCAGCTTTGATGCCAAAGTTCTCTATCACGGCCCAATGTTGGCGTTGTGTTCTTAACCAGCTTTGATGCCAAAGTTGTGTCACGGTAGAGGGGAAAAAAAACCCCAACTTGTTGCCGCATTGTATTAGATACTTTTAACTAATTCAAATACAGTGATACATCGCTTTATATAATTTAACCTATTTCGATGTGTTGCTGACATTGGAATAAAATTATTTTGAAGCAGGTAAATCACTACATGCAAGAAATTAAAATGAGTTTCTTTCTAGGGTTGATTGTTGTGAGTTTTGTTTGCTGGATATTAGGACAATGAAGTTGGAGATGATGGGTGCTTCCATTAAAGATGAGGAGCATAGGCAGTTGGTAATAAACATTACTGACCATAATTTAGAGCCCTTTCCTGACTATTGTATTTACTGGGTACATAGAAGTCTCCGCAAAGTAAATGAAGATGCCTACACTCCTCAACTGATTTCAATAGGCCCTCTTCACCAGGGGAAGGAAGAACTAGTTAACATGGAGAAACATAAAACAAGATATATGGAAAGTGTTCTTCAACGAATAAATTTGGAGAGATGGGAGCAAATGTTAACCTTCATTAAAAACAATGAACAACAAATTCGTAATTGTTACGCAAAGGCATCTGATCTTGGAAGTACTGAGTTCGTAGGCATAATTCTATATGATACTATCTTTATCATTGAGCTATTCTGGAGGTATTTCAATTATAGTTTTTATGCAAGTGATTATTTGATATATAATCCATCATTAGATTCCGTTTTACGCATTGAGTTGCTAGAACTTGAAAATCAACTTCCATACTTCATCCTTGAGGAATTATATAGGCTAGCTTATGTTAGCCCTCATCATCCTACCTTCATGGAGCTTTCTTGCAACTACTTCGACCATGAGATGTTTAACGGCATACCTCGATGCACTGCACTTGTTCATTTCACTGATTTGATAAGGATCGCTCTATTGAAAAACTACTCAAAAGTCGAGCCAAATGGAAAGAGTATTGCAAATTTACCTTGTGCAGCGAAATTGTACGAGTCAGGACTCAGGAGTAAAATTTAAGGGTATCAAAAGAGAATGTTTACGTGACATAAGATTTGAAAGGCGACACCAAAGAATTCCATGCTTCAAAATACACGAGTTGCAAATACCATGTCTGGAAGTAGACTATCGCACAGAAACTATCCTTAGAAATGTGATGGCTTTTGAGCAGTATCACTATCCGTGGGATACTGGGGTTTGCAGTTATGTTGATCTAATTGATCAACTTATCGATACCGGAAAAGATGTGGATTTGCTCATTGAAGGGGGGATTATTATCAATTCTTTGGGCGACAATGCTTCAATAACGAATATGTTCAACAAACTTTGCTCTCAAACTGGTTTCGTTGGTTCTTGTTACTACGACCTCTGCGAGGAACTAAAAGCACACTATAACAATCCCTTGAACCATACCAAGGCCACCTTAAATAGGGTGTATTTCAGCAATCTTTGGAAAGGCACGGCAACTGTTGCAGCAGGGTTACTTCTATTGCTAACTATGATACAAGCCATGACTTCTATCAAGCAAGTTGCTTGATTATTTTAAGGTTTGTATTGAACTTATTATTTATTTGTCGTGTAATTTTAAAGTTGATGGTTTGGTTGCCATTATTTTGTAATAATGTATGCGTTATATTAACGTACAATAATTAGTTAAATTAAATATGTGTTTCAGATTGTTATAGCTTAAATTTTTTTTGATTAGTTCTTAAGTTATGGCATAAAAAATGTTTGGTAAATAACTTTTGAAACTGAATAATTTGAATTTCATTTAAAATACTCAAAAGAATTTAAGTTGATTTTGCAACGTAACATGACAAAAGTACCCACATATAATATTTTTTATTATAATATCATATTATATTAGAAAGATTGATTGATTTAATTTAAATAAATTAGTTTTACTGAATTGAAAAAAGATTTGGAAACACTCAGTTGCCGGACCGCCAGTACGATGGTGGCTGATGATCGAAAACTGTAGCTAGCGGTGGCGCGTCCGACGACATCATCGGCACGCTTGAATTTGTTCCCCAAATCATTTAAGCGGGGTAGGCATCTGGAATCCCCACATGGGAAATGCGTTTCCCGAACCAACTCCACTTCTCAATTTATTTATATATAAAATATATAAATAACCACATTAAAAATGAATAGCATTAATAATTAAGTAAACCATTACTATATAGTATTAATGCTCTAAATAAAAATAACCATATCATATCTTAAAAATATTAAGAAGTAAGAAGTTTAAACAAGTCATAACCAAAACAATTAAAAAAAAACTAAATTGTAAATTAATTTATAATGTGCTATAGCATCATTTATTTCCCGAGGGCTTCTTGATTTTTCTTCCTCAAGAATCATTAAGACTTCATTCCTATAAATTGTGAAATGAAAAATATACAATAATTTCATTTTACTATAACAATTATATTTTTATTGTTGTGAGTGAATGCTGAAACGACGTCGTACTGAGTATTAGTGGAACGGTGTCGTTTTGAGACAGCTCCAAGATGATCTTGACCGCTGATTCAGAGAAAATCTAACGGATGAAAACAAGCCTCCAGTCAACACTATAAAAGGATTGAGTCTTCACACAAGCAGTAGATAAAACGAAAAGAGAGAGAACCTGTGTTTCGTATTCTTCGATCTGTTAGGGTTCTTAATTTTCTAGGTCTGATTTCAGTTGTAATCTGTGGGTATCTTGAGTGGTTTTGGGTTAATCAGTCAAGGGTAGAACTTCTGTGTTCTTGATATAGGAATTTCCAGGTTAGAGTATTCCTAGGGTAGATTACGGGTTTGAATCAGAGTTGTTTCATCTAGGGTTTTGGGCATATTCTTGTAATCGTGACTGTAAGGGTTTGTTCAATAATCATAGTGCAGCGAACTCCCTTTTCCGGAGTTCAACGTGGATGTAGCTTGCTCAAATAGGGCAAGTGAACCACGGTAAAATCCAGTGTTGTTTGGTTATGTTTTTTTTTTTTTTTTTTTATGGTTTGTGATTGTTTCTTGATTGATTGCATAACAGTGGTATCAGAGCCTACGTTCTAGGGTGTATCAAGGTTTAGAAATCGATTAATTTTTTGACGAATTTGAAAATTAGGGTTTGTTCGAAAAAATTAGGGTTTGTCAGATTTTAGGGGTTTTTCGATCTAAAGGTTCCTAGAGCTTTAGGACTTCGAATCTTGCTGAGTCTTGGGGTTAATTCATGAGATTAGATCACAAACACGAGTCAGGGAGAGAAATCTTGGTTATTGCCTAGGGGCTGTACTAGTACTGTTCACTTCCGTCTTATCTGTCAAGTTTAAGGGTATATCGGCTGGAAACCAGTAACCGCCTTAAAAACTGCCTAGTAGTACTTAGCGACCTTTGGTCTAACAACGCCACTTACACTTTAGACTGTCCTACCCTGTCGTTACAATACGATGAGCGCTATCCGTATGGAGATCTCCCAATACGATAGAAAGATCGATTTCAGGAGTTGGAAGAAGAAAATGAAAGCTCTGCTTTCACACAATAAAGTTGCTCTTGCACTGGAGAAGGATCCAAAGAAATGGCCCGAGGAGAAATTGAAGGAGAAGGAGAAGGAGGAGATTGACGAAGCAGCCTACAATCTGATCGTGATGAACCTCTCAGACAACGTACTGAGAAAGGTTGATGGCATCGAAACTCCTCTGGGGTTATTGGGTAAACTCGAAACTTTGTATGCTCTTCAATCTGTACCAAATTTAGCATTTCTTATAGGGTGCTTTGTTTTCATATAAAATGGATAGTAACAAGACAATAGAGGAGAACCTAGATGAATTCCTCAAAATGAACTTAATTTTAACGGGCACGGATCAGGAATTAGGAGAAACCAGTTTAGCCATGATACTCCTAAACTCCATTACTGAGGATTATCTTGTAGTTAAGAAAGCACTTCAGTACTCCGGTATTGTTCCTAGTGTCAAATTGATTGTGGCTGGTCTTAAGGCTAGAGAACTTGAGTTAAAGGTCCAAAAATGAAATGGGAGTAACCTGTTAGTTAGGGGAAAACCATACATCTTTCAATCTGGTAAAGGAAGTCAACCTAGCCAGGGGTCCAAAAACAAGAAACGGGGTAAATGGAACAATAAGCATAAGGCAGAGTCTAGAAAATGCTTCTTCTGTAATAAAGCTGGTCATCTGAAGAAGAATGCTTCTTCTGTAATAAAGCTGGTCATCTGAAAAAGAATTGCTTTGAATGGCTTAAGAAACAAAAGCAGGGAAACACAAAGAGTAACCTAGCCTTATCCAAACACTTAGTTGAAGAAACAGAGGTGCTTACTATCTCTGTTTCTGACAATACAAAAGAGTGGGTGTTAGACTCTAGGTGCTCATTCCATATGAGCCCCAATAGGGACTGGTTTCAAGACTTTGAGGAATATGATAGGGAAACTGTTTTCATGGGGAATAACAATGCCTGTAGGGTTAAAGGTAAAGGTAGCATAACCCTTAGACTCTGTAGTAGGAAACTAATAAAACTCACCCATGTTAGGTACATTCCAGAACTCAAAAGGAACCTCATATCCTTAGGAACCCTAGATGAGGAAGGGTGTTATTATAGAGCCGAGAATGGGTGGCTGAATGTGTATAGAAACCAGAATCTTATCCTGAAAGGAGAAAAAAGGAATGGGTTATACATCCTATGTGGAGAATATTATTCTGATTGTCTAAGTTCAGCCCTAGTCACCTCAAATATGTCAATAACTGAAAAATGGCACCTTAGGATGGGACATATGAGCCAGAGGGGATTATATATCCTAAGTAACCAGGGTATGTTAGGAAAGGATACTGTATCAACCCTAGAGTTCTGTGAGAACTGCATTTTAGGAAAACAATACAGAGTCAGTTTCCCAAAGGGCATACACCTGGCCAAAGGATACTTAAACTACATACATTCAGACTTATGGGGGCCTAAGAGAGTGAGGTCTCATGGGGGCAGTAGTTACTTTATATCCATTGTAGATGATTTTAGCAGGAAAGTGTGGATTTACACCCTTAGAACTAAAGACCAGACAATGTCTAAATTCCAAGAGTGGAAAGCCCTAGTGGAGAACCAACTAGACAGAAAGGTAAAAACTCTAAGGATTAACAATGGATTAGAGTACTGTAACACTGAATTTGATAAGTTTTGTAGTGAGCAAGGAATCCTAAGACATAGAACAGTGAGAAGAACTCCTCAGCAGAATGGAGTAGCTGAGAGGATGAATAGGACTCTCCTGGAAAAAGTCAAATGCTTGCTGTTCATTTCAGGTTTACCTAATACCTTCTGGGGAGAGGCCTTGTCCACTACAGCCTATCTGATAAATAGGAGCCCTTCTACTGCCATAAACTTTAAATGTCCTGAAGAAGTGTGGTCTGAGAGAAAGCTTGGTTTAAGTCATTTGAGAATTTTTGGGTGTGCTGCCTATACACATACTGTGGGAGGAAAGTTAGAGCCTAGGTCCACCATGTGTGTCCTTCTAGGATATCAAGATGGTACCAAAGGGTACAGACTATGGGACAGAGGTTCACCAGGGGTAAAAATCATTATTTTCAGGGATGTAGTCTTTAATGAAGGGGTGTTCCCTTGCAAAACTACCAGATAGAACATTGTTAACCATACCCCATCTGAACTTACAAAGGATCCATCTGAGATTAAAACTATTGAGGTGGAGCCTGTGGGTCAACAGGCTGAACCACCTTAACATGATGAGGAACAAGCACTAGAAAACCAACCAGGACTAGAGGATCCTAGATCTGATAGTGAAGAAACTAAAGCAGATGCCCTAGAGCCTCAACATGCCCAACTAGAACACTATCAACTTACCAGAGATAGAATAAGAAGGGAGGTAAGACCCCTTGCCAGGTTTTTTTATGCTGAACTGATATATACTGCTTTGCCTGCAGGAACAGGGATTCAAAGAACAGAACTAGATTCATATGAAGAAGCAATGAACTCCAAGGAAAAGGAAAAATGGAGGCAAGCAATGGAAGAGGAAATGAGGTCTCTTGAGGTAAACAGAACCTGGTCCTTGGTTCCCAAACCCAAGGACCAGAAACTAATAAAATGTAGATGGTTGTATAAGATTAAAGAGGGAATTTTAGCTACTGATCCTCCTAGGTACAAGGCTAGGCTAGTAGCTAAGGGTTACACCCAACGGGAGGGAATAGACTTCAATGAAGTCTTTTCCCCTGTAGTCAAGTACAAAACCATTAGGTTAATGTTCTCCCTTGTTGCCCATTATAACCTAGAGCTAGAACAGATGGATGTTACCACTGCCTTCCTGCATGGTAACTTAGAAGAGGAGATTTACATGAGCCAACCTCTAGGTTTTATTGACCCTAAGAAACCTGACCATGTGTGCATCCTACACAAATCACTGTATGGACTGAAACAGTCCCCAAGACAGTGGTATAAGAGGTTTGACAATTTCATTGTAAGCATAGGGTACACTAGGAGTATATATGACAGCTGTTTCTATTTTAATTTGAATCATAATCTGCCTGTGTATCTCTTATTGTATGTGGATGATA